AAGAGGTATAGATTTTTTTCACAATAATCTTATAATATGTTTTTTTTTCTTTTTTTTTGTTTGCATATTTTTTTTAAAAGAGCAAATGATAAATTAAATTATCTATTTTGGTTTATGATAAATAAGTTGTTAATAGTTTCTTTTGGGATGAAAACTTGTTGCTAATCTGAAAATAGAGGTCGTTCATTCAACTGCTTTTGGTTTAAAATTACCATTAAGCTTTTTTTCTAATCATCCTCTTTTTGGTAGGATTTTGGTTAGGCTCTAATGAATGATAATCTTGAATTTATGTTTTTTTTTCTCTTTAGTCTTCACTTGTAGCTTGGAATTCTTTTTGGATTCCCTCTTTTTGCATTTTTCTAAAGAAGATATAATCATATTATACTTTCTTTTAATTCATTCTTATAAGGATTGGATCAGATTTTACCTAAACATTGGGTTGATTAGTTTATGCTAATCCAGTCTAAATTTATTTGTTATAAGTTTTTATGCTATGATAGCTTTTGTCTCGAATGTTTGTTGTTTTATATTTTCTTAGGAAAAATGATCTCTGCAAAGCCATAAAACGTATTGCTAGAGGTATTTACATGCTCCTTTATGGATATTTTTCTTTTTTATGTTAATTTTTTAGTAAATGCAAACTGAAAAAGCTTTTTTTCCCTTAGGATTTGTTGATGCTGTTGTATCTCAAGGGTGAGATCATGAACCTGGCAAAAGCTTTTATTATGCACATAAAAGATTAAAACAGTGAGTTTTGCTTCATATTTTTAATATTATTTAAGTTGTTTATTTTGTTTAAAATTCTTAGATTTTGGTTTCATACATCTTACTGTATTGCCACTTAGTGATTTTTTATTGGTAATAAATGAATCTTGAGATATGTTTTCCATTTAATATATTTATGTTGTATTTATCTTCCCTGGGTTATGATTTTAATTTGATAGTTTTTCTTTTTTGTTTTCATTTGTTATAGGAATTTCTATTCTTTCGTATCAATCATCATATCATAATACGCCTACATTCTCCATGAAAATGACCTTAAAAATCAACCTTCAAATGAGTTCCAATCTTAGCAAAACTCGATAATTTTGTTCAACAAAGATCTTTCGGAACTAGGTTTAGTAATTCATCTTCAAGGTTTGGTTTATTGTTCCAAGATAGAAGATGCTCCCAACCATTTTTTCTTCATAGCTTTAACGTGTCTTTTTTTTCGTATATGTCGACTATGGTTAGTGGTAGGACAAAAAAGATTAAGCTGATGAGTGATGTTGCAAAAGTTCTTAAGGATAACGTTGTTGAAATAGTGGCTTCACAGGCTTCTATTATGAATGAGGTTGCCATTATTGCTGTTAATTGTTGGTTACCTGTTGCTACCTTGTAGTATGTTATTGATGTAGTTTATTCTTTTACTGGCTTCAATTGGTAAATTGTTGCGTTTACTTATTTTATATTTTTGCAATTATGTAAATGTTTCAAGAATGCACTGTATGTTGATGGTAATCATTTTTGCAAAAATATTGCATAAAAAAGCCTTTTTGTTGAATTATTACTTCTCTATAAATGATTCAATCAATTGGCTTCAAACTATCTGCTGGAGTAATATTTTAAATGATGAAAGAGGGACAACATAAACTATGAGGACTCTAAATATAAGGATTCCTGTCATTTTATAACTATAAAAAACAAAAAATAAACTTTAATAAAATAAAATAAATGTTATTTTATAATGTAAAAGATAAAATAAAATTTTAAGTAAATAAAAAATTATTATTTTATAAAGTAAAAGATTAGAGCTGATCAAACTTGTACTTAAAAATCTAAATGTGTTAACCGAATCCAAAATGGACTGGGCATGTAGGCTTGGGGTAGTAGCTAACGATAAGATTCACGTGGACCCCCTAACCCCGACCGAAACTGAGTGACAAAATTTACCTCGAGAAATCATCAATTCATTCATGAATTCGATAATGACATGTTACGATGAACCATCGGGGGTGGGGGGGAGAGAGGAAGAGGGAAGTGCAGTTGGTGAGAAAAAAAGTTAAAAAAAATCGTAGTATTTGATTTAATTTAAATTATTTTTAAAATTAAAAAAATAAAAAATTAATTTAAAATTTTAGAATTTGATTTTGTATGAATTAATTTTTTTTATTCGGATCAAATTTGAATATTGAATATATATATTAAATTTTGATCAAATTTTAAATTGAAAGATAAAAATTTAAAAAAATAAAAAAAATCATGAGGAAAACAGATGGTGAGAAAAAATTGAAAAAAATAAAAAAATTAATTCAAATTTATAGTATTTGATTTGATTTGGAGCAGTTTTAAAATTGAAAAAATTGAAAATTGATTCAAAAATTTAGTATTCGATTTAGTTTTGATCAATTTTTTTATATTCAATTCGAGTCAAATTCGAATATTATATATATATATATATTAAAATCAGATCGAATTCTAAATCGAACGATAAAAGATTAAAAAAAAATCAAATCACGGGGAATACAAGTGGTGAGAAAAAAGTTGAAAAAAAAGATTCAAAATCGTAGTATTTGATTTAATTTAAATATTTTTTAAAATTGAAAAATAAAAATTGATTTGAAATTTTAGAATTCGATTTAGTATGGATAAATTTTTTTTCTTATTTGATTCGGATCAAATTCGAATATTATATATATATATATATATATATTAGATTTCGATTGAATTTTGAATTGAAAGATAAAAAAATCTGAAAAAAAACAAATCACGAGGAAAACAGATCGTAAGAAAAATTGTAAAAATAAAAAAATTAATTTAAAATTACAGTATTTAATTTAGTTTGGATCAGTTTTAAAATTAAAAAAAAAATTGATTTGAAATTTTAGTACCTGGTTTAGTTTTGATCAAATTTTTTTTATTCAATTTGAATCAAATTCAAATATTATATATATATTAAATTCAGATTGAATTTTAAATCGAAAGATAAAAAATTTTAAAAAAAAATCGAATCGCTGGGAATACAGGTGGTGAGAAAAAAAGTTGAAAAAAAGATTCAAAATCATAGTATTTGATTTGATTTAAATTATTTTTAAATTGAAAAATAAAAATTTGTTTTTAAATTTTTGCATTTGATTTAGTTTAGATTAATTTTTTTCTCATTTGATTTGGATCAAATTTAAATATTAAATATATATATATATATATATATATTAGATTCGGATCGAATTTAAATCGAAAGATAAAAAAAAAAAATCACGAGGAAAACAGATGGTGAGAAAAAATTGAAAAATAAAAAAATTAATTCAAAATTATAGTATTTGATTTGGTTTGGATCAATTTTAATATTAAAAAAATAAAAAATTGATTCGAAATTTTAGTATCCGGTTTAGTTTTGATCAGTTTTTTTCTTATTCAATTCGAATCAAATTCGAATATTAAATATATATATTAAATTCAGATCGAATTTTGAATTGAAAGGTAAAAATTAAAAAAAATCAAATCGTGGGGAATAAAGGTGGTGAGAAAAAAATTGAAAAAAAATTCAAAATCATAATATTTGACTTGATTTAAATTATTTTGAAAATTAAAAAAATAAAAAATTGAGTTGAAATTTTAGTATTCGATTTAGTTTGGATCAATTTTTTTCTTATTCGATTCGAATCAAATTCGAATATTAAATATATATATATATTTAATTCGTATCAAATTTTGAATTGAAAGATAAAAAATCTAAAAAAAGTAAAGAAAAACAATTTATGAGGAAAATAGGAGGTGAGAAAAAATTGAAAAAATAAAAAAAATTAATTCAAAATTATAGTATTTGATTGGGTTTGCATCAGTTTTAAAATTGAAAAAAAATTAAAAATTGATTTGAAATTATAGTATTAGATTTAGTTTTGATTAGTTTTTTTTTTTATTCGATTCAAATCAAATTTGAATATTAAATATATATATATATAAATTCAGATCAAATTTTGAATTGAAAGATAAAAAATTAAAAAAATCAAATTGTGGGGAATACAGGTGGTGAGAAAGAAATTGAAAAAATAAAAAATTAATTCAAAAATATAGTATTTGATTTGGTTTGGATCATTTTTAAAATTAAAAAAATAAAAAAATTGATTCAAAGCTTTAGTATTTGATTTAGTTTGAATCGGTTTTTTTTATTCAATTCAAATTTTAAATATATATAGTAGATTTGGATCGAATTTTGAATCAAAAGATAAAAAATAAAAAGAATCAAATCACATGGAATACATGTGGTGAGAAAAAGTTGAAAAAAAATAAAAATTGATTTAAAATCGTAATATTTGATTTAATTTGAATTAATTTTAAAATAAAAAATAAAAAATTGATTCAAAATTTTAGTATTTGATTTAGTTTGAATCGATTTTTTTATTCGATAAAATCAAATTTAAATATTATATATATATATATATATTAGATTTGAATTGAATTTTGAATTAAAAGAGAAAAATAAGAAAAATCGACTAGAATAAAACTATAAATATTTACTTTATATATTTTTTAAATTTTTATTAAATAAAAATAATAATTTTATATCAAAATTTATTTAAATATATTAAAATTTTATATTAAAATAATATATAAAAATTAAAATTTTAAAATTAATAAATTAAATAAAATTAAATTAAATAAAAATTTATTATAAATTTAAATTAAATTTTAAAATATCATAATATTATATAATATTTAAAAAATCAAATCAACTCAATTGAATTCCAATCTTTTAACTTTCGGGGCAATATACTCTCTTTAATTGACGATAGCTTGGAAGTATTAATTATGATGTTCCGAAAATTAGAAGGATAATCAATTTTCTTTTACGCAAAAGCGTTTTTCTATTCCCCAATTCCCCTCCGGGTCCAAGACGAGTGGCGGCTCCTCCCAAAAAAATTTGAAAATAAAAATGATGCGAGTCGGAGTGCCCACCCGGCAGGAGCTAAAAAAAAAAAAAAGAATATCCAACATATTTTTGGATAAAACCCACGTGAGAATATACGACAAAGAAAACCACATCATACATTGCATCACCTCCCAATTCCGTTTTATTTTTCTTAAACCTTTTGCTCTCCTTGCTTTTTACCATGTTTAGTCTTTGAGCTCTAATAATAACAATATCTATCTGTCAATCCCAGAAAAACGAAGCCTCACCAACCCCAAACAAATTACCTCACTCTCCTTTAGATCTCGCTTCCGTCAGTCAATCTTTTCTCGGATCATTGCCATGGGTACTTTCATAATATCAGGTTCCTTTTCTTACTTCTTACTTCGATTTTCGTTTTACAGTTATTAACTCATTTTAAAACTTGATTTTAGCTTCAGAAAATCCTTTCAATACCATTTTGAAGACTTTGGAGAGGCCAGATGGTGGTGAATTCGGAAAATACTATTGTTTACCCGCTCTCAATGATCCAAGGATCGGTTAGTTCCTTTTTTTTTTTTTTTCTTTCTCTCTCTTTTAGATTTTAAATTTCCTTTGGTTGCCGAGAAACGATAGGAAAATAGAATAAAATATGTGAAATGAAATGAATCTATGTGTTTTTAACCTAATCTGAAGTTTGTTGACTGATTATTCAAATCGGTTTACTTTTTAAGCTAATCGAAGCTGTGTTTTCATTTTTGTTTCTTTTCTCGCGTTTTCCCTTCAATCAAACAAAACCTGTTTTAGATTTTGGGTGATTTGAGATTGATGCTTCTGTGCAGATAAACTTCCTTACTCTATTAAAATACTTCTTGAATCCGCGATACGTAACTGCGATGAATTTCAAGTTAAGAGTAAGGATGTTGAGAAGATAATTGATTGGGAGAACACATCTCCCAAGCAGGTTGAGATTCCGTTTAAGCCAGCTCGAGTGCTTCTTCAGGTCTGCTCTGAATCCGGACTTTTACAATGGCGATTTTGTTTAATTATAATGTTGAGTTAATTTTTAATGCGAACTTGCATTGCTAGGAATCCTTGTTTTGTAATATTGTTCTCTGTTTTTCAGGATTTTACTGGTGTTCCTGCTGTTGTTGATCTTGCCTGCATGCGAGATGCTATGAACAAGCTTGGTGGTGATTCTAATCAAATTAATCCACTGGTAAGTTATACACTTATTCTTATGGATGCTATCGGACTAATCAAAGAAACGTTTTTTTTTTTTTTTATTTTTCAATATTGAAACACCTGGAGGACTGTTTTAACTGTTGATATGTGATGAAATTATGATGTGTAGGTTCCTGTAGATCTTGTTATTGATCACTCAGTTCAGGTTGATGTAGCACGATCAGAAAATGCAGTGCAGGCAAACATGGAACTTGAATTCCAAAGGAACAAAGAAAGATTTGCTTTTCTCAAGTGGGGTTCAAAAGGATTCGATAACATGCTTGTTGTTCCTCCTGGATCAGGAATAGTACATCAGGTAACAAACATTTTTTATGTTACATGAAGAGATTATAATCAGTTTTTGATTGGCTGAAAAAAAAAAAAACTACTATTCTTGCAAATGATTAGGTGTAGTGTCAACGAAGGGGGGAAAGGAATTACATATTGCTACTGATGAGCTCTGTTTTGTAAGGAAATATAGTACATGTGTTTACCAACATGTTTGTGTTCTCTAACAAGAGTTTCTGTGATCTTGGTTTACAGGTCAATTTAGAATATCTTGGAAGAGTTGTTTTCAACACAAATGGCATGCTTTACCCTGATAGTGTTGTTGGAACAGATTCACATACAACTATGATTGATGGATTGGGTGTTGCTGGCTGGGGTGTTGGTGGTATAGAAGCAGAAGCTGCCATGCTTGGCCAGGTAAATTGCTTACTGCACTTATTATTAGGTTCTGTGTTATAAAAGGAGGGAAGGGATGGAGAAGGAAGAAAAATAGAAAATTTATGGAGCTATTTATGTGGCTAAGTTTTCTGTTAGCATTAATGCATTTCTTCTTTCTCCTAATACATTTCTGGGAGGGTGAACTTTTAATTTATGATTACTATTTTGCTTGCAAAACCTCCTAGTTAATGATTGTAAACTTGCCTTTTTCAATGCAGCCCATGAGCATGGTCTTGCCAGGTGTTGTTGGGTTTAAACTATTAGGAAAGTTGAGAGATGGTGTGACAGCTACTGATTTGGTGTTGACAGTTACTCAAATGCTGAGGAAGCATGGGGTTGTTGGCAAGTTTGTGGAATTCTATGGTATAGTCTTCAATACAACCACTATGTTGTCACTTATTCATTGCTTTTTGTGCTTCTTCTTTTATCTAATGGTACATGTTTCCTTCTACTGTTTTATGCAGGGGAAGGCATGCGTGAATTGTCATTGGCAGACCGTGCAACTATTGCCAACATGTCTCCTGAGTATGGTGCAACAATGGGATTTTTCCCTGTGGATCATGTCACGCTGCAGTATCTACAACTGACTGGCAGAACCAATGAGACTGTAAGCCCTTAGTATAAATCTTTGTTTCATTCGATGTATCAACCCTTGATTTACTGACTTGTATACAAACATGTAGATTGCTATGATAGAATCCTATTTACGGGCCAATAAGATGTTTGTGGATTACAATGAGGTAATATACACGTTAGGTTCTTTCTTCTATGATTCAAAACTTTTCAGCATGCAGTTTCTACTAAGAATTTGTTCTTTGAACTCAGCCTCAGATTGAGAAGGTGTACTCTTCCTACCTGGAATTGAAACTTGAGGAAGTTGAACCCTGTATATCAGGGCCCAAGAGGTAAAATTTTCTTGAAATGTAGAAACTGCAATCCTTTTAAGAGGAAAATTTTGTATAATTTCTTGTATTCCTGTCATTTGTGGTGCGTCTGAGTATCTAGCTGCTGTATTGCAGGCCGCATGATCGAGTTCCTTTGAAAGAAATGAAAGCAGATTGGCATGCATGCTTAGACAACAGAGTTGGATTTAAGGTATCATTTGTACAAATTAGGGAGGGGTCTGTATTGTGCTTCTTTGGAACTGCTGAAGTGGTGATGAGGACATTTTAGATGTTAAGAATACTATGTGCATATAAAATAACACTCTTCAAATCTACTTGTAAGGGCGAGGTTAGATTATATTGATGATTCTGAAACTGGAGTGTGATGTCCTAACACAAATGATGAATTCTTGAATAGTAGCATGACAATGGTATATTGTTTGATCATATAATAAGAATATCTGGTCCATGAGTTATCTTACTAAAACAGCAGCTGAAAAAGAATCGTTAAGTTCATCATCGTCCTCTCCTGTTCTCTTCCCTGTGTCCACTTACCTGCATTCTCTTGTTACAGGGATTTGCTATTCCAAAGGAATCTCAGAGCAAGATTGCAAAGTTTTCATTTCATGGGACTCCAGCAGAGCTAAGGCATGGAGATGTGGTTATAGCTGCTATTACTAGTTGCACAAATACTTCAAATCCTAATGTGATGCTTGGAGCTGCTCTGGTTGCAAAGAAGGCTTGTGAATTAGGATTGGAGGTAGGCTTTCTCTGCTTTCCTTCACCTTTTATGTCTATATGAATCTTCTCATCATCGAACTAATTGATAATGGATAATTCAATGTCCTAGATCAACTAGGTTAAGTAGCTCTTGAATTGCTGCAATGTTGGTTCTTTGTTTATTGCCACTTAGATTGTCTGTTTATATTGGTGAACATTGCAAGTATGAGCAATTCTTAAAATTGTAAAACACAACCTTTATTCACGTGGAAGGATTCCTAATTTTGTCTTGTTGAAAGGTAGCAATTTATCTTTTAGGTTAATCTCTTTAAGATAGCAAATCAATATATGGAAAAAGATGAATTTTCATTTTGCCTCACTTAAAATGATATTTTAACGTGGAAATTTTGAGGTTGTTTTTTCTGGTCAGAACGATTATATGAGTACAATTTTCTGAGCAATAAGCCTTGTTGTCATATTATTGGATCGCACTTTTAACAGGTCAAGCCATGGATTAAGACTAGTCTTGCTCCAGGCTCTGGGGTTGTAACCAAATACTTGCAAAAGAGGTACTTCTCATAAATCTATAGGAGTATATTAACCATATGATTAACATTCTTTGTTTTTTCATATTTCTGACTCAGTAATGCACTACAGTGGTTTGCAGAAGTATTTGAATCAGTTAGGGTTTCATATAGTTGGGTACGGATGCACTACATGCATTGGGAATTCAGGAGATATTGATGAATCTGTGGCATCAGCTATCTCTGAAAATGGTAAATTCTTTAATGAGAATATACTTGGTTGTCCTTGAATAAGAATGCTTGAAGCTGACATACTGGCTGTTTTTTACATGCTTCCAGATATGGTGGCCGCTGCTGTGTTGTCTGGAAACAGAAACTTTGAAGGACGTGTACATCCTTTGACAAGGGCTAACTATCTTGCTTCTCCTCCTCTTGTTGTTGCCTATGCTCTTGCTGGCACTGTATGTAGCTTCATGTCATTACAACTGGATTTCTGCTCATAAATTTATGTTCTTGAAATTGACATGTATACCACCTATAATGTCTTCTTCTTATCATAATTTACCTGCTTATTTTAAGCCTCTCTCTTAAGTTATTTACTTATTTGTTCTGAAGCATAAATGTAGTTCTCATTAGACGCAATGATGCAGGTGGATATTGATTTTGAGAGAGAACCCATTGGTACAGGGAAAGATGGAAAAAAGATCTTTTTCCGGGATATTTGGCCTTCTAGTGAAGAAGTGGCTAATGTGAGCTACTCAGCCTGCTTTACCTTGATTCCTAGGCTTAAAATATTAGGAACTAATATTGTTTTCCACTGTTGTTCTGTCTTAAGGTTGTACAATCAAGTGTGCTGCCTGATATGTTTAAAGCTACATATGAAGCAATCACCAAAGGAAATCCCATGTGGAATCAGTTATCTGTGCCTTCTAGCACCCTTTATTCCTGGGATCCAACATCAACTTACATCCATGAGCCACCATACTTTAAAGACATAACCATGTCACCTCCAGGTCCACATGGAGTGAAGGATGCTTACTGCTTGCTTAACTTTGGAGATAGTATCACAACTGATCACATCTCCCCAGCTGGTAGCATCCACAAAGATAGCCCTGCAGCCAAATATCTCTTGGAACACAGGGTAGATAGAAGAGATTTCAATTCTTATGGAAGTCGCCGTGGTAATGATGAGATTATGGCCAGGGGTACTTTTGCAAATATCCGACTTGTGAACAAACTATTGAAAGGAGAAGTTGGGCCTAAAACAATTCATATTCCCTCTGGAGAGAAGCTATCTGTATATGATGTTGCGATGGTAAATTATTACTCTTAATTCACCATACATTTCACATGTTATGACTTATTACCCTTGAAATTTAGCCTTTGCATTATGATCTATCTGAAGTCACTGTATTTATTTGTATGACTAATATTCATCTCATTGTACTTGAGAATTCTATTAAGATAAGCATTTCTATCAGGGAAATCATTTTGTGGAAGTTACATTTAAATATTTTCCTCCACCTAAAGTGATTTTTTATAAGTGAATTGTAATATTATTCAATTTTATTTATCAACAGAGATACAAGACTGCAGGACAGGATACCATAATTTTGGCTGGTGCTGAATATGGGAGTGGAAGTTCTCGAGACTGGGCTGCTAAAGGTCCAATGTTGCTGGTACGTTATTATTACTTTTTCTGGTACAAGTTAATGGTTCTTGGCTTTACTAACAAAAATGCACCATTCAATGGTGCTATTTCTTTTTATTTTTGTCCTTTTTTCTGAACCTTCACTGCCTTGAGTTACAAGAATGTAGATTTCATTCTTCTCAATTTCTATGTATTTTTGTCTATTTCTTAATAATATCATTACGTTGTCGTACTCAGGGTGTAAAAGCAGTCATTGCCAAGAGTTTTGAGCGAATTCACCGTAGCAATTTGGTGGGCATGGGCATCATTCCCCTTTGTTTCAAGTCTGGAGAGGATGCTGAGACTCTTGGGTTGACTGGCCAGGAGCGCTATACTATCGATCTTCCTAGCAGTGTGAATGAACTTAAACCGGGTCAAGATGTCACTGTGGCTACAGATAGTGGCAAGTCATTCACCTGTACTGTACGATTTGATACAGAGGTAATAAAACAATTTAGTTATTATATGCCTTCTCTTCTTCGGTTATTCTCATAAGAGTGGGCTCCCGTCCTTGAAATTTACTGAATCTTTGATTACTAAAATGTAGGTGGAACTGGCTTATTTCAACCATGGAGGCATTTTGCAGTATGTCATTCGGAACTTGATCTGCTCAAAACAGTGATTCGGCGAGAAATATTTGTCTACAAAGCGGGTCATGTCGGCAGCTTATTTGATGGGTTGGCATTTTCGGACATGGGCAAGTAAAATTGCAGCAAAATTTATGAATAAAATTAGAAACCCAAGGGTGGGAAAATTGGGCATTACGATTCAAGGCATGTTTAGATATGCAGACATATATGGACCTTTTTCTTTCCTGTCCTCACCTAACTTTTTGGAGGAGGTATTGACAAAGGGAACAGGCAAAAAAGGAATATAAAGAACAAGTACTGTATTGTAGTGTTAATAATAAGGAATTTTTAAGCAAGTTGTGTTGGTTTCATAACATGAAGAAGATGATATGAGCCCGCCTGAGAGCTCTTAACTCTTAGCTTCAACTCAAAGCTGGCCTGGATTAGGGTTTTGCCTGGACAAACCAATTGATCCGAAAAATTGGATTTTTTGCAAACCGTTGGAATCCTAAACCCTAAATAATCTCTTAATCGAGTAGACAATAAATAAATTCTGGATTTTACTAACCATTATCATCCCCTTTCTAGCTTTAAATAAATAAATATAGGTAAAATTATTCAACATAAATGATAAAATTAGTCATTCTATTTTAATGTGTTCAAATTGGATTCATATATTTCATTTAATTATTGACTTTAATTAAATTGTTTATGGTTCAAACATTCTCTATTAAAATTGATGACGTAGCATTTTGACTTATTGAACATAACTTTTTATTTACATGACCATTGACTTTATTAATGTGTAAAGTTTACGTAATAAAAAATGATGATGTGGTAAAAATTTTTAATACATCATCAATTTTTTACGCTAATTTTTCTTAAATTATACAGCTTATCCTATACTTTGGTTAAATTATGAAATTAATTCTTTTACTTTATTGTATGATCAAATTTGATTTTTATACATTAATTAATTATCGAATTTAAGATTTGATCTAAAATAACATATAAAAAACATAAATTATTAATTCAATAGTAACATTTTTTTTTTCACATTTTGATTTATTAATTGGACTTAATTTGATAAATTAGGTTAATCTCAAATTAGATTATCAACTCAACATAAACTAAATTATATCTTTTCCTTATCTTTTATTTAATTTATTTAATTTATTTTTTGTTAATTTCTATTTTTAATATTTTTGAAATATAAAAATAGATAAAAAATAAAAAAAACTTTTAAAATGATAGAAATTAAAAGTTAGATAAAAAAAACCTATAGTCAATAAATCTATATATACAATCAACAATAAAAGCAATTGTAGACATTCTACTTTTTTTCAAAATTTTTTTTGATATTAAATAGGTTTTGAATTTTATTTCGACATTAGAATCTAAAATCATTCTTGAATCAATTGAGTTTAATTGAGAAATTAGATTTTAAATCCAAATTTAAAGGCCTAAAAATATTTTATTTATTATTTATTTAGTTATTTTTATTGTTTAGTTACCGAAAGTTAAGAAGTTAAAGTAAAAAAAAAAGTAAAAAAAATCAAAAATTAAAAAAAAGGAAAATATGATAATTTTTTTAGAAAGATTAATTTAGAAAAATTCTAAAAATTTAACAGCAATCGATTTTTAGGTTTTGACGATTTTTGAGTTGTTTTGATAAATTTTTTCTACAATCGTTAACTTTTTCATTCACTAGTTTTTATAAATCTCATTGAAATATGAATTCGTTGAAACTTGAATGAGATTTGTAAAGAAAACCGAGAGGAAAATGAAGCTGAGAGAGAAGAAAAAGGAAAAATTAAAAAAAATATTCTTTATTTTTATTTTTATAACAAGTTGAAATGATGTTACTTTAGAAAACGGATCTAGTGCGACTCGTGTGTTGATTCATATATTAACTTTATCTACGACCCGACTTACTTGTATTGAAAAATTTTTTTAATCTTTTATTTTAGTTTTTTTTTTTACTTATTTTAGGTCAAATTTTAAATTCGATAATTAATTAATGTATATGAATCAAATTTAAACATATATTAAGTTAGAAAGATTAATTCCAAAATTTAATCGAAGTATAGGGATGGACTGTACAATTTAAGAAAGTTGACGTGAAAAAATTATGTGTTAAATAATTTTGTCATGTTATTATCCTTGATCGCATGGACTTTACACAACAGCAAAAACTATGAAAATAAAAATGTCAATAAAAAAAGTCAAAATTTCATGTCATTAATTTTATCGAAAAAAGTTTAAACTATTAACAAATTGATAAAATTTGATAATTAAATAAAATATAAAAATTGAATTTGAACACATTAAAATAAATAAAATAATTCTACCATTTAATTAAAATACAGATGTCTATTATATAATTTAACCATAAATATACACAAACATCTGCTGGCCTCGCTAAGAGAAATTTAAACATTTTATTTTTGAGGGTACAAACAATTTTTACGTATTAATAATAAGGAGGGTCCTAATGTCCCCCCCCCCCCCCTCTCATTCTTATTAAAATGAAGCAGCCAACGAACTCCTTTGAGTGGTTTCTTTAAAATCTAAAGGATTTGCCCACACTTATCCTGTTGTTTGGTTATTTATGAAAGTTGTTTTATTTTTACGAAATTCTATTAACGAGAAGCTCGACCGATTCTTCCATCTATTCTCTTTGCATTTTGAATTATGATTTATGATGGCCTTTTCCCCTCCTTCCGTTGGTTTAAATTAATAGAAAATGATAATTAATATTTGCTAGTCTTATCTCATTTTAAATGCATACCAAAACTCAAACCTAATATCTCAAATTGTTATCGTTTTATTGTAGTTATTTTAACAAAGGACTTTGCTAACAGTGTCTCAAAAGGAGAAGATTATGTAACGCAATAATATTTTCAAGTAATGCATTGAAAATCATCCATAAAATTATCAATTTTTATATTTAATATAAATTTATTATTATAAATAGTATATTAACTAAACTTAAAAAAAATATTTTTAAAGGCAATCCTTAATTAGCAAAACCTTTTAAGAAAAAGCAATTAAATATTCAAATAATAAATACGAACAACATTGACAAAAAGATTAAATTTAGTATTTAATTTAATAATTAATACATGATTTGTTGGTCAAAGAACAAAATTCCAATTCCCTGAATTGACTTCATTTATCTCTCTCGATCTCCTTTTCATTTTTCTTTTTAATTCTCTATTTTCCTCTACTATGATATTGAAAACCACCATTCGATTACCATAGCTTCATGAAGTTGGTGAAAAGAGTGTGAATATTTTTCTTTGTTAAGAGATTAATTATTAATTATAATATAATAGTAGAAGTATGCAAATGGCTTACGTATGGGCGAATTGGCATTACGGCACATGATTTGCAGCGGGCAAGTCATTGTTTAGCTTACCCACCAATATAAAGCAGATCTCAATTTGGAAATATAATATATATATATATATATATATATATATATCAGGAGACAAAATTATTGTGGTTAGCCTGAGAATTTTTTTTTCTTCTACTCTCTTCAACGAGAAGAAGAAGAATTACATCAGCAAATCTTTTCATATTCCATCGAGCAAAAAATCCCAAACAAGTTGAACCATATATTCATTCTTTTGATATTAACAACTTGATTAAATTGGTGGGAATTAATTTGCAGCATACATAAATGATTCTAACTAGTTGGAGAAATCTGGATTTTTTTTACAATTATTGAAGAGATTAATGATTTTGCCGATGGAATGATCATATGGCTGCAGGAAGATCCTTCTTGACCTTGAACTAAATCTTCAACTACTAATCAAATATAGATTTGTATATAATCTTTTTGATGAGGCAGCAACATAACCAATTTCCATTTTCTCGATTTTTTTTATATATTTAAAATTATGAGAGATTGAATCTTTATCAATGAAATAAAAAATTTAACACTTTATTAATAGATCATAGGCTAGTTATTAGCTTTCTTAATACTTCTTTGCTTCCAATTTCTCTTAAAATATTGAAATTGGATGCTAAATGCTACAATTTGATCAATATTTTACTTGAATCGTGTATTTTTAAAACATTTACCAATTATCCAATCAACAATATTATATGTGAGAATTATCATATATACTAGTTTTTGGTACGTACATAATGTGCATGTAATTTTTATTTTTAAAAATTTATTTCAATAAATAATTTTTTATATTATGATAAAAATGATAAATATTAATAATTTAATTTTGATTTTGATATAATATAAGTAAAATTTACTAACTTTTGATATAATTTTAAATTTGATAAAATTTTAGTAACCTTCGATATAATTTTGATAACTTATAATATAATTTTAGTAATTATTAATATAATTTTGATAATTTTTGTTGGCCTTGAATTGATTAAGAGTTTTGATTTGACAAAACAAAAATTTATCTAACTTGAATCAATCTTTTCTAAGCTTAAATTGAACATTTTTTTCACCTTTTTATCTTTCCAAAATTCATTTGAGAACCAAAATAAGTCAAATTATCAGAACAAAACCTGATTGTGCAAGTTTTGATAGAAGGGATCGATCCCTTAAGGGAAGGGATTAATCCCCTCCTTACCAGATCGATCCCCTAGCAAAAAGGATCGATCTTGTTTTCTTCTAGAATAAAAATTCTTCAAATTTTGGCAAAAACCAATTGATCCCCTCCTTATAGGGATCGATTGGTTGGGGTTTCAAGTTGACCAGATTGATCCCCTCATTCAATGGATCGATCACTTTTTCATACAAAAAGTTTTCATCGTGCAATTTTTCACAAAAGAGATTGATCCTCCCACATAGAGGATCGATCAGTTGCTCAAACAGAATGCTCCACAAGTCTGAAAATCCAAAAAAGGGATCGATCTCCCCACATAGGGGATCAATCACTTAAAGACTAATCGATTGGGTAAGGCAATTTAGGCACAAAATCGTGCCTTTTCCACTATGAACCAATCGATCCCCTAAAGAAGGGAATCGATCCCTTGAAGGCCAAAAACTCCCAACGGTTATTTTTGTCTGAAATTTTTGTAGGTTTAAAGCAATAAATGCAATCCAACGGCTCTCAACTTTTTTTTACCTATAAATAAAGCATTCAACTGTAGATTAAGGGCAATAAGAGCCAAGAAAACTTATTGCTATTCACTTACCAATTTACTCAAGCATTCAAAGCTGTTCTAAGTAAAAAAAGTATAGAATTCATATAAGTTTTTCTTTATTTTCTTGTCTAAACTATTGTGTACTTCAAATTAGCAAACACCCATCCTTTGAGAGGTTCTTAAAGTTTGCAAAACACTTCAAAAATTCTGTATTGTGAGTTTGTAAGCTTAA